AAAAAATCATGCTGTCTCACCCATATTTACTGGAATTATTTTCATTTTGCTCTTCATAGCCAATATTTTCTTACATGTTTTGTATTTTCTGAGGTTTTATAATTATTGTTCGGGTTTTTGTCTAAACACAGCAGAGTAATATATACTATTGACAATAGTAAAAAATATTTTTAATATGTAGTAAGTAATAATAAAATAAGTAATTCAATAAATATGTCTTTTGTTAGCATATATGCTAAAGCAGCCCAAGCAGAGCAGAAGTGCTACTAAACCACCTGAGTATGACAAGAAATAAGAAAATAAAAATTAAAAATAAAACATAATTTTGTCTACAAAGCAGCTGTGATACCAGCTGTATTCTTACCCTGGCTGGGCATTCGCGATTAACAACTTATTACAGTATTTTCATCCAACAGACCTGAGAAATTTAAGGTAATGCCACATTTATTTATAGTGAGAGTTGTTGAGTGTTGTTGACACTTATATTCTAGACTGGTGTCTTAAAAAAAAAGAAAAAAACACAGAGATGCCTTTCTGTCTACACCAACAAAAGCTGCCTTGTTCCTGAATAACGACCTTCATTTTAAAAGTGAGAGAGTGAGACTCTTTAACAGAGCCTCAAAGATTGAACACAGACAAATGAGGAAAACGGCATAAACACTGCTTCCACAATTAGGATGCTCCTTTGAAAAATGTTCCTTTGATCACCATGACAACAGTAAAGTCATTAGGAAAATATGTCTGTGATCTTGTGAGCTTTAGTTGAAGATGTTGCTCTACAGTGACCGTTTGTTGACAGGCGCTGCAGTACATCATCTTAGAGTCTGTTTTTTTTACTCGTGTTTCTTTTTTTATAGTAACTTTAAAAACTCATTTAGCACAGTTAAGAACTGTGGTAAAATGTACTGTATATCCACGACGTGAAATCGTTGTTGTTTTGTTTAATTATTGTGCTCATTTATCGTGATCATCTGTCGTGTAGTTCGGTGTTTAGGTAACCAAGAGAACCTAAACAAGGCCCCAGTGGAATGTGTAAAGTTTAAGGAGCACATTTAAGAGTTTTTGTTTCCCCAAAGCATGACTTCAGAGCCTCATCATAACTTTTGAGAGCCTCACACAGCGGTTTACAGACATCCTTAAAGTCTATGACCTGTAGAAACAGCTACAAATGTTACATCTTCACATCTTTTGCCTGAGACACTGTACGTCACTGTGTTGTATTAACAAACACAAACAGCTGGTGGCAGTCTGTTTGGCTCAGCCTTTCTCCATACTCTGTCTTTTTCTGCAGATTTAGTTTTCTCACCAGACAAATGTAGCTTTCGATCTCTGCAGACTGATTTTTTAAGACAGTCTAATAAAAGACGATCTTTCTGTCCAGCAGTTTTAGTGAAAACAGCAGGTTGTTAACGTCCAGCCCATCCTTGCCAATCATATTCACATATTCCACATAGTTAGTGCTCTCTTTCTCTTGGGCCCAGTTCAGGTCAATATCAGGGTGAAGCTCAGGTTTGGTATAAGAGATGGTTGGTATGAGACATGCGAAGCTAAAACAAACTCCTAATGCAGACCGACATGCCAAGGTAAGGTTAGAAAATCAGATCGGTGTTTCACAGACCTGTCTCTACTTTCAGACCTGACTCTATTTATAAGGAGTTAGCCGAGTCCTGAGAGGTAACGCAAAACAGAGGACCATCACTGATATATGTGATACCGCACACATGGCCTAAGGGTTAAAAGATTGGGTTTGTGACTGGATGATTAAACACACACACACGTATGAATGCACAGGTAGAGCTGGACTGTCTGGAACCTTCCTGGCTAATCTGATGACAGCAGGACAAACTTTGAAAGAGTTTGAGGAAGTGGTGTTAAGTTGGATAACGGTCCTTGGGATACTGGGTGAACTGCTGGTACAGTACAACATTTACAGTAAATCCTCTGGTGAAAACAATATTCCGAGTCTCTGAGTCTTTGATCACTGCTCTAACCACAGCATTCCTCTTGGCCCCACTGTTCTTTCCTGTAGGAAACAGGAAAGAACATGGACCCAAGGTAGACTTGTTTGCGTGGAACAAGGAAATATTTGCCATTTATAGCTAAACATGGAGAGGATCTTGTTCCTATAAAAACAGACACCATTTATATTAAAGGATCAGTGCACTGTCATTGTGTTGAGCTTCCTGAGAACTGTGTCATGTCCTGTTCTTCACTCCAAGCTCTAGGTTCCCATGGTAGATGGGCCAGGATTTCTCCATCTGCATATGGTCTGTAATGCTGACTAAACCTTCACACAGACTCTGTGCATTTGTCCTTCCTTTACATACTGTTTGTGCTGTTATACCGTCATTGACTTTACTGCATCAGTCAGCATCCACTGTCACAGGTGTTGACGTCTGAGGACAGACAATGCGATTGGTACAAAGTTTCCTTATCAAGTGAGTAGAAGTACATTTTTATCCAGTATAATCCCAGTGCCACTTCTCATGGAGGTAACAATAGACAGCATTGATGACCTAAACACATTTTCTGGAGGTTCATGTTTAGTTTCTCACGATCTTCAACCAAAGCACCTGGATCTGTTGTCTCCTTAGGTGGATAAATGATTTTTCCCATTCACCTAGGCTTGGAAACTTTTTAGTCCCTATATTTGAATGAATTCCTAATTGTTTTGTCATAATTCAATTTTAAGATGATCTCTTTAAATCACCAATGTCATGAGTCTAATAAAGTCGAACAAAGAGAACTTTGTGGGGAGCTTGATATGATTTTTTTTACACTCCTTCTCTGTGAAGGCTGTGGGCGGCAGAGCTGGAGAGGAGCATTGCCAAATCTCTGCTCTGCCTCTAAAGTAGAATATCCATGAAATTAACATATTTCGTTTCCTACTAAACAATCAACTGTATTCTTCCTCTCTCTTTCACACTGTTGCTGTCTGTCTCTCCACTCTGTCTGCATTAATATCCATGAAATATCTTTAATCTCTGTGCATTTTGTGTATCACGGTGACTATTCATGGGTAGTAAATTCATGAATGTGGATTTAAGCATGTATTAAACTGCCATGTTTTGCATGAACTAAATAAGTGGCCATGGGGACACCAGGAAACATATAACATAACAAATAAATAAATAAAGAATTGCTTTAAAACAATTTACAAATGAGCTTTGAATTGTTATAGATCATTTTCTTTTCTAGCAAAACTAGTCCATAATAGTCAGTATCTGAAACAACTAAAAAAACAAAGGTGACATTATTTGTACCAATACTGAAACATACTGTAGCGCGTATACAGTCCTCATAATGAACGAAGAGTATGAATAATCAGAATGGCAGATCTCTGATTACAGACTTTGTCTGCAGTAAAGACTATTTACTATTTTGTATTAATGTGCAAATTGTCTTTGATTACAATTGCTTTCAGTGAACATTATGTAACATTTCCTCTTTATGTCTACCCTACAGGTTAAACAGCGGGGAACATAAAGCAGGGACCCTGGTCTAACACCACCTCCACAGATCTGCCAAGTTAAGATTCTGACATGGACTTCAGCAGCCATTTACCCATTAACACCCATCTCCTAATCACCACAGCTGCGTCAAGTCTTAGCAAATCCAAGCAGCTGCGGAGGATCAGTTCGTCCTTTTGAGTCAGCCGTTCATCTCCGTGACCCTCCGTAGGGGAAAGATTTGGAAGAACCGGAGACAGACGTGAAGCAAAAGAGCCAAAAGGATGAACACATCTGTGGTAATCTGTCTTGGTTTCCATCACATTCACAAACAAGCACATCTGTTGGCTGATGAATTTTCAGAGGGATATTTTTTTGATCTGATAAAGAACTGGGCTCTGATTTCTGGGAAAATTAACACTCCTTGAAAACATATACATCAAATACTGTGTATAATCTATGTTTACTCTGCGTAACAGGTCATTTATTTTACCTTGTGCTCATGAAAGACCTATGAGCCAGAGTTGGCCTTCTCTTATTTTTATATGAAGTCTAGGCCTTCACGGATAATGAGGACCTCTTCACTGTCTTCGCACTGTCATTATCACTTGTTTCCTAAATTATCCAAATTTTCTGCCCTTCACATCTAGTTGTAACAGACAAAGTGAGGGACAATGATAGGCAGACAGAAGAAGTGGTAGGTTGACCCTGTCACGGGAGTCTGGTGACCTTCAAATGTGGAATGTGGAACTTCCTTTCTCTCTTTCACTTATTCAGGGATTTCCTGTATCCATAGCGAGTGTGCAAGTCAAAGGTCAGGCTACTGTAAAGCTGATCTGGTAAGTCTTTGTTACGTGCCAACAGTTGTAAAGACCAACACTGTCTTCACCTCTGGCCTTTTTTGGTTTTTAGAATTCCTCAGAGGCTCATTCTGTGGTAGTTAGAGGTACAGTAGCTGGGTAAAAGTTCTTAGTCAGACATAGTCCTTGTGTTTCCCCGATAATACAGCTGAATTTTGTATGAATATTTGGCCTGAAAATATTCACCAAAGTAAAGGTAAGGAGTGTGGCTTTTTATTATACAGGTTTCTCAGTGTGGAGTTTGGCTCAGTCTGATCCAACAGAAGTCACTTGTACTAAGAACTCCCCTTAACCGACTAATAAAATAATGCAGGAATGAAGTATATTTCTATACTTCACATGTCCAAATTTAGAAATTAAAAAAAAAGTTTTACAAAATCCATACATGCCAATTTTGAACCATTATATTGTAAAGAACTACATTAATGCCTCTGTTGCCACTGTTGCTCCCTCACTTTAGCACATAGCATTCAGTATATACATTTAAGAAAAAACCTGCGTGGTTACCAAACTATGTCAACTGCCAGTTCTGTTTCATCGTCTGTTATCATGGCCTTTGATGGTATTTTGGAAAGAAAAGCTAACAAAGCTGTGTATCACAGAGGTTCAGAAAGAGAAAGACAGATGATAAAAATATAAAGAAACCTTCTTCCTGGTTTTCAAAGCCGTGCAATAACAAATGGGGACTTACCCTAGCACCCTTCTCTGGGAAACATTTACAGCCTCCGCTGCAATCTCTTCCTCCACAGGGGCCGCTGTGCTTCTTCCCACCCTGTTTAGAAAAAAACAGACAAATCACAGTCAGACATGGACTAACAGATGTCACAGTAAACATAAAATGGCATAGAAATCTGACTAATAGTCCTTGTCTTATGGTTCTGGTCCACTTCATTTGTGTCCATCTTTATGACACTGCTTGCCATGTGTGGGAAAAACTAAGGGACGTACTTCTGTACACATGCACCCACAACTTGCACGCAAGTGTAAAACACTGGCTGAGATTAGGATTGAATGTACAAGTGTATACATGTGTAAGTTTACTGTGTGGTTTTTGGAATACACTTGTTGTTTATGTCTTGACTCTGCTGTACAAGTGATGCAGAGCTGTTTGCACTGTTGAGTAAATCGTTCTGTTGTTCAGAGGCAATGTTTAGGATGTGGCTTCCCTGACTCATGACGAATGTCCAGACATAGTGACATAATGGACATCCATGTAACCATGAAAGTCTTATTCATCGGGATTTCTGGGCCCCTTCTTTTTACATGTGCAGACAACTAAAGACAGCCTGTCCTTGGTTGGTCTGCATACCGAGAAAACCACCCACCAACTGAGGCTGATCTGTGCCAGTGTGAGCGACGCATTGTACACACATGCAACTCGTGGGGTCTGTGTGGACACGACATGATCAGAGAAAGCAGTGACCCATATGGGATTTCACGTCCTACAGGTCAGAGGTGTCACTGTGACACAGGCTGAGATCGATGGAGGCATTAATTAAAACATAACAGTTTTGAAGTGTTAGAAGAGGTTTTTTTTTGTTTTTTTTTGTTTTAAATCAAACCCACATTTCTATTTGTAGCATTTGAAAAAAAGATGGGACAAAATAATGATACTGTAACATGTTTGTCCTGGCACATGAAATAACTAGTGATTTGCTGGTTAAAATGGATAAAGGTGAAAACAAATGTCTCACAAACAAAGAATAATTTCAACACAGATATTCAAAACTGAGGAACTCAAATGATAATAAATTATATTATTATAGAATAATACAATTCTCAGTCTCCAAATAAGAAAGAAATACTATCCCAGTACAACTGACTACAGACATGCAGACAGCATCCATTTCGCTGTCGTACATCCACCCACACTGTCCTCCCACAAGGCCATACCATAGCCTGCTTAGGCAGCAAAAGCCTCAAAGACTCAAAGACTACCCATTAGAAAAAAGGAGGGAAATGGCCACAGTGGCAACAAATTGTCACATAAAGAGCCTGAATATTTCCCCCTCCTCAGTTTGACAGAAGATCCCAGAACTCCCGCTGACAAAGACTACATTGATACACACAAAGACCTTCTTCAACGTACAGATGCCGTCCTTTAATGATCCCCTATCACCACAACAAAAAGGACCCTCTTCCTCGCCCTCTTGGAATTCACTTGGCTGCAAGTCTTTGTTAACTATCACTTGATCTGAGGGTTGCTTCAAACTGCTGTTTAAATTTGAAAACATGATGAAGCCGTTGTGTTTTTTTTGTATATACCCAGATTCAAGTGCAAGTGTTTTTTTTTAGGCTGGGGAAATATAGGGAAAGTCACAAAATGACCTTTTTCCACAGTGATGTGGAAATCCAAAATATAGACAATAGGCTGTCTCAACTCCAGAGAGAATTACAAAGAACTGGCTCCTATATAGTTGATTACGCATCACGGAGAAATGCACCATCCATTCAACATGTACAGTGCACAGGTTCAAAATAGCTGAGGGGTTGTTTCATTGAACAATAGCACTGAGCTGCAGTATCCTGTTTTCTCCATCTGCTGACATAATAAGCCAATCTTCCACAGCTGCGGAAAACACCTTGGAAACAAATTGGATGATGATCCACAGGCGGTATTACAACAATGGACTGAAAGCTGTGGTAATGTCATCAAAAGCGTACAATGTTAGTGCATTATAAACTAACATTTTAGTTCCAGTTTACAGTTATATTATTAATGCACACAGCTCATTGACAAAAAATGTCTTAAATTCATTTTTTGCTCAACTGTCTGGTTTTACCATAATAGGTTGTTCCTCTCAGTCAGTCAGTATTTGGTCATTTTCAATTAACATGTTAGCTGTGAGTAAGCTAGCAGGTGATGTACAGTAAATTTCAAAAATGCTTTGAATACATTCTACAGATTACTTTAGTGGATTCATAATTGTATCACCATAAGTTTGTATCATTTTCCAGTGTGACCCACTTCTATATGAAGTCCCACAATCACCTGGAAATACAGTATGTTTGAGAACTCCCTTTGTATCTGTCAATAGACCTTCAGAGAATAGTATATATGAAAGAAAACAACTGCCATAAACACGGGGAGTTAGGATCTGGTTAGCTTTGCCTGGTCACGTGTGGCATTGTTAGTTTACAGTACAACACTCCACTCCAACACTCCAATCTGTGAAGATATTTCAGAGGCCTCCTGAACTGCCTACACAGACTCTGTCTCTGCTTTACATCAATACACGTGCCTAGTTGTAGCTTACACAGTGTGTCATCCAGCTCTCCTGGTTTTCTTTTTCTCAGGCTACAGTTATTCTCTGTTTAATTTTCTTCTGTCTCACCTTATGTCTCTCTTTGAGACACTCCACTTCCTGCCTTGTGTCCACACCTCCCTCCTCTAATAGTACCTGTCTCCACCTACTCTGTTTCACTCCACCGTGATCACCTAACCACCCCCACCTCTGCCTATTTTACTCCACCACAAACTAAATATAAATATATATCTATATAAACCCCTTACTTCCCCTATTGTGGTTGTCAGTTCGTAACTTTCACTTAGTCTGAACCAGCATTGTCTCTAGCTAATTCCCAGTGTCTTCCTCTCATTTTTGGACCTTTTGTGTCTCAGCCTAGCGATTCTGTACTTCAACTGTGTACCTTTTGCCTTCCTATGTTTTGGCCATCTGACTAGGACTGACTCTTCCTGTCATTAAAGACAATGGTGTTGCTATCCCTGCCCTGCCTTTGACCCTCTCAGCTAGTCTCGTCACACAGGAGCCAAAGCAACATCTACTTAAGTGTCATTCTTCTACCTCCTAATTACTATCATCCATTTTTATTAAACCATTAAATGCATGGATACCTGACTGTATGATGACCTGCAGGTCAGAGTTGATCAGATTAATGTCTGTGTACTGCAGGTCTGTGTACTGCTGTATGTTTTTCTCCCCCCTTCTTTATGGCTGCACTGGTGCCTCACTGCGCCCATGCGCCAATTCCTTCAGTATAATATACAGTGTATGATATAAAACCAGCTGCATCAACAGCCCTGGTTCTCACGCCCATTTTTTTTACCCTTCCTCCTGCTGCTACACACAGCACAATGTTAGCAAAGCTATTAAAAAGAAATATGGAGGGATTATTTTTGCTTTGAGAATGGAGGTGAAGCAACGAAGCAGCCCAATGTTTTCACAAGATCTTTCTTCAGGTAGAAAAGCAAAGCGTACAAATTGTGGAAATCCAAATATTTAGGCATAACAAACACCTAAATGTCTGCGAATGCAGCACAACGGCCATATAGATCCATGAGAGTCTGTGGACAATGAGGTAAAATCTCATCTAAAGTCTCACACCTGAGGTTAAGGTCTCTTTTGTAAAATATATAAATTTTACATGAAATTGTTTTAATCAAAATGCTAAGACCAAGGTAAGCGCTGGTTTCAAACACAATAATGCGAAAAATATAAACTACATTTCCACACAGTCCATTGCCATAGCACAACGATAGCTCATATAAGCTAAAGCTAATTAAATTAACGATCATCACCAGAAATGATTTACAGAGGCATTTTCATTGGCAAATGATTGAACTGATTACAAAAATGGGGTATTAACAATGGTAAATTCCCTATCTCCTCTTTGGTCCGGTGTTGTGTCGATGCACAAACCATTCTACCTTGAAAATTTTCCATCTGTATAATCTATTGTCAACTTGAATCACCGCAATCGTTTTTTTTCACACTGATTACAGTAGATTTTATAGACATAAACACTTCCTACCGCTTCCTGACAATGTGAAGAGCGGCCAAAGTCAACACATCATCCAGAGCGCTCAACACTGATGATACAAAAACATACAGCAAATGCAGACAAAGCAAACTGAAGGCAAATTATAAATACAGATGTAGAGAAATGTTGTCTGCTGTGGAGAGGGAGGTGCAACATGAAATAAGGGGCAAGATGAGGCCTCAATGTGCAATGTGAGACGACAACCTAGGGGATTTAGGGATGATTTATGGTACTTCTCAGCAATCAGAAACCCACATAATTATGAGTACAATAATTGGTCAATAAGGGCATGGTGTCTTTAAGTGGTAGAAGATTACAAATGACAGAGAGAAAGAGGATAGAAAAGAGCAACTGAATTAGAATAAGAAAAAAAAACACCCATTAATGGAATGCAGAAAATGCATCACGAAGCCTCTTCCTATTGGTTCAAACAGCAAAGTAGGCATAAAACACAGTCTCATGAACAGAAGAAGAGAAAGACTGATAGGAGTGTATGATCTTGACTAAAAAACTATACGTAACTCAATGTCCTGTGGACCAGCTCTCAGCCACAAAGAGATCCGTCAATCTTTAGCTGTCAAACTGAAACCCATGTAAGCAGAGGCTCTGAACTGCTTTCTCAGTTTTCACACATGAAACCACACAGCTTGACCATAGACGCTGTTTGTGTGAGACTCATTCATGTCATTAAAGTGTCACATGAACAGAGATCACAGGCAATTTGCAGGTCAGGATGCGTTTGATCTGCTGACCACGGTGACACAGTTGGTACCAGTTACCATCTCAAACAATGTGAAGGACAAGGTGGACAAGGGTGAAGAGAGAGATGGTTGTTGAGATAACAGTAATGATGACAATCAGAAACTAAATCCTACAACAAGAAGACCCAGTGTGTTTGATCTGTGAACTGTTTGTCAAGGGCTCGTTTCTAATGAAGGATGTGACCTTCCACCTTTACACTTTGACCTTGGCCCACAGGAATTCCTAACA